AACGCTACAATGCTGCACTGATTGCCACGGACCCGAAGCAGAAAGTACTATCTCCCAGTACATATACACTACATGCCCGGCCTCGAAACCCTAGAACCATACCGCATCCTAAGATCAGGAATACGCGCTTAGCCCCAAAGCCCAAGACCGTCCGACCGTAACCCAAAGCCCCGTTCTTCAATTCCTAATTCCCAAACACAATACTCCGACAATCAAACCCAGGCGAGTCCCTACTTAAAGCCCTTGTTGGCCTCCGTAAGCACCTTTGAGAAACCTGCACAACCTTCACTCCTGAAGCAGCTATACTTTGGATACTGCCCCCACACAGTAACAGTCTATAATCGGGCTCCTAATATATCTATATTATGAATACTATCCAACTGTTACTGAGTGGGGGCAGTATCCAAGCTATACTGATTTGTTGGGGATCCCCAGTAAATACGGAGAGCCTAGAAACTCCCAGACCTTCCAAAATCCCTTAATTAAGGAATATACCTTAAATCATATTGAGGATCCTACTATAATTTAAGGTATATTCCTTAAATTAAGGGGTTTTGGAAGGTCTGGGAACTCTCTGGAGAACCGACTGGGACCTCGCTGTATCTGACGTAGGCAAAGGTCGTGGATCCATCACCTGCAATCAAAGCCCAAAGGGTCCTATGTACTGTTATGGGGGATACTTCCCTGGGTCATGATAGTAATTCCTAACATAGAAATAGAAACCCTACCTTCTAGTATATAGGTACATAGGACCCTTTGGGAAGGTGTCTTTGATTTTAAGTTTGGGGCCGAAGGTCTATAGGGCATAGGGCTTGAAGGCTTCCGGGCGCTTGAGGTATAAAGGTTCGAGGGCTCGAAATTTGGGTCTTACGGGATCGGACATATGGTGCTCCTACAGGATTCATCGTTCCTTCTTGAAGGTTTCGTGGATTTCGTGGTTAGAGTTTCTACTCCCTAGAGTAGGATTGGAAGAGGTTTCGGGTTAAGAACTGGTTGGCTTAAGGCCCTCACCTTGAGATACCAATTCTTGAAAGGACAGGTTCTTGTGGGGTTTGATAGCCTTCTTACAGGGTTTTGCAAAGCTCTATACGGGCTTTACTGCATGTGTTAATGTTTAGAACTTGGCATAACTCCCTTTCAGCTTCACCCATGACCCGGCACCCGAGGTGAACCAGTGAAATTCGAGGCAGTGTTTAGGTTTTAGGGGGCCGACTATACCCCAAACCTTGAATCCCACACCCTTACCCTATCATCATAAGGCTTTGGGTTTAGGACCGTCTGATCAATCTAGCCGCTCCAAAAGCTCTAACAGAAACATTGCCCAGGGAACGAGCAATCACATCACAACCCATTGTAAATTTCAGAAACAGGCGAGCACCTCATCCATATGAACTGCTCCGGTAATGAATCCAGCAAATTCCAGTAAACAGAACAAAAATAACAACACCACACCACCACCGCCAACAACAACAACGCCAGCAGCACCAGCAGCAGCAGCAGTAACTCCACCACCACCTCCACCACCACTACTACGACTACTACTACGACTACTACGACTACTACGACGACTACTACTACTGCTCCTCCTCCTCCTACTACTACTACTACTACTACTACTACTACTGCTACTACTACTACTACTGCTGCTACTACTGCTACTACTGCTCCTACTACCACTACCACTACCACTACCACTACAACTACCACTACCACTACCGCTACCGCTACCGCTACCGCTACCGCTACCGCTACCACTACCACTACCACTACCACTACCACTACCACTACCACTACCACTACCACTACGACTACGACTACGACTACGACTACGACTACGACTACGACTACGACTACGACGACGACGACTACTACTACTACTACTACTACTACCACTACTACTATGCTGATATTAGCAACAACAATAGCCATGAACATGTTCACAACGGTAGCAATAGCGCTAACAACAATAATGATCATCATACATGCAAAACAGTACTACGAGTCCTACGACTTAGTGCCCATTGCTTCGGAAGCACTAAATCCTAGACCCCGGATCATACTCCTTGGCCTCAAACCCTGAACCTTAACTTTAGCCCTAGACCCTAAACGCTAAGCCCGAAACACTAGACCTGAAGCCCTACATCCTAAAGCCATAACCCCACAAACTCATAGGATCCGGGCGTCGAAGCATCAGAGGTCCCCCCTCCGAATCGAGAAAGACCTCCTCCTCCTCTTCAGGTTGGTGGCTTAAGGTTTACAGGTTGCGGTTTAGGTTTCGGGTTTAGGGGTTTAGGGTGTCGGGATTTAGGGTTTAGGGTTTCAAGGCTTGGCTTTCTGGTGGGTTTGCACTTACGGCTACTGAGCTTTACGGTTCTGGGTTGATGGCTTAGGGTTTGGGGTTTCGATCGGGGGCTGTTGTTGGAGTGGCATGGCTCTATGCGTATTGCTTCTTTTCGGGGTAGGTCTAGGGTTTCCGTGGAACTTGGACTAGGGGACCTTTTTCGGAGTGTGCTGTGGCGTAGGCTGAAGGTTTGGGGATACTGTGCTGTAGTGGAGGAATTGAACTGTTTAAGCTACCATAACAAAGAAACCACAATATCATCATGCTATTTGCTACCGGTCCTTCTTATGGTAACTTCAACTACACTCCTGAACAAGACCGCACTACCCCTCACTCGAAACACCAAGTCCTGGTTAAGATGAAGGAATTTGGGAAGTGGGTGTGCTTTATGTTATACCTTCATGGTGAAGTTGCTTCGGGTTTAGGGTCTAGGCACGCCGTCTTCATATCCTTCTCAAGCCCTTGCAAGACCACCTGGACCTGGAAGATCCGACCAGACCCTTGGAACACTATTGCAAGCTCATGCCATGCGAGCCCCCATCGTGCCAACCCTGAACCCTAAACCCCATCTCATGAGTCCTTGCCATCCACTCGAACTTTCGTGGATGTTAGTCCTTTGAATTCGGACCTGGAGCACTGGAGGTTCCGGTTCCTAGGTTCAGGACCTACTGTAGGCTTTCTTGGGGTCTGGGGCTGGTGGCGAGGAAGGTCAAGGACAAGGACGGTGGCGTTGAGGAGAGGCCGAAGCGTCTCGTTTAGGGTTTAGGGCTTTGGGTCTAGGGTTTTCGGGATAATCACGCTCCCTGGGGAAGGCAGCGATTCGGATTCTCTAAACCCTAAAACCAGTCTGTTCACTGCAAGGTTTAGGGTTTAGGGTTAAGGGTTTAGGGAAGTTAAGGCCTTGGCGCGGTCGGCTTAAGGCTGGGTGAAACAAGAACCTGTACTGACGAATCTGCTATGTTTCTTGTTTGAGCTCCTTTTTCCGCTTAAGGTACCAGCCGGCGACTCTGCAAGCGGAGGTGCGTAAGAGGCTCAGGGTTTAGGGTCTAGGGAAGGGGGTTGTGGTTTAGAGTTTAGTTCCTCCTCTTATGAAGAAACTCTAACCGCCCACACATCAATCCCTAAGCCTTGACCCCGCCCCCACAACACCTGCTGGGTAGTTGGTTCTCGTTTATTGTAGACCCCTGGTTAAGAAACCCCAAGTACTTCTAATCGGGCTTGGGTGTATTGTCGTATAACTAGATAGGTAGAGGATTTAAGGGCATGCTATCCCTGCACATACATACATACATACATACATACATATACATATATATACACATATATATATATACACATGTATATACATAATATTCCTTGTTTCGCTCCTTCAGTACGAGAAGTATCCTGAACCGTGGCGGTTCTGACAGTATTCCTTCTGATTTGTTCTGTAGAATCTAGTTCTGAAGAAGTCAATCCAAACTCTTGAAATGTAGGGACCTTAAAAATTAGAATACGGTTGTGAGTAGATTATACAATACAATTAAAAGAAGGAACCCTGCAGATGATACTGGTAATTACTTTGGCTTCTATATGAAGCCCGAGTTTAGGGTTTAGGGTAAGCCCGTCAGGTGCCCGGCGATGGAGAGAAGTTCGGCAAAGCGCCAAGAGCAGCAACAGGACGATCGCTAAAAACCTGTGGGGCGGGCTCAGGCTTTACTCAACGCCCGCAACTACCCTGAAATCTACCCACTATTAAGGACCATAAGGGCTCCATTGAAGGGCCTTTGGGGAGTCCTGGTAGTGTTCAGGGTTTAGGGTGCTAAATCGCGGCAGGCTATTCACAAAGTCTTTGTATTGTCTTGGGCCTAGAGCCTATATGGAAGGTCCCTTGTTTTCTGAAACTCCCAAATCTCAAAGGAGGGAAAATTTCAAAGACTGTGCTCGTGACAGGACATGGGTAGATCATAATCGCAGAAGCCCATGGTCATGCCCCAACAAAATGGAAGCAAAGGCTTGTCTGCAGGAAGCTGACATCAAACCCTGAAAGGGCACAGCCGGACCGGATGTTTTGATCCTCTCTGCGCATTCGACGGGTGGGTGCCACGCAGTGCATGCCAGCATGCCTACCGGACCTCCCCTTATATCGCTAAGTTACTGTAGGTCCATGTACCTCTGTAGTACATAAGGGGTCCCTGCATCCCAACATCATAACTCTAGCTTGGGCTGAAGTACTTACATACTGTATGAGAACATGGACCCTTAGGGTCCCTTAGCATTATGCGTGTGCCGCAAACGACAAACACCATCAGCGCATTTTATTGCAATCAATCTCGGGGCCTGAAACATTGAATAAATCGAACATCTTTCGGGGATCGTGTATAATATAGTATACCTATATATCTAAGAAACCCTAAGGAAGAGCATTTTTCAGGCTTGCCCCGACACCCTACATACCATCCTGAAACCACCCACCGGATCTCGGCCGGTTTCATGCTTTCTCTCAGGAGGCGTCCTCTGTAAACCCTAAACCTCATCAACCCCACAGAACACCTAAACCCTATCAGCCCTATAAAACCTGAAACCCGCAACCCTGTACACTACACCCTGAAGCCCTGTCAACCCTATAAGCATCTATAAGCCCGATAAGCCGCAACCCCTATAAACCCAACACACTACATCAGGCATCTTGATACGCCTGTCTGACCTGTCTCCAGCGCTGAAGCGCTTCCATAGCTTCGTCACAAGCTTTGTCGACCTCATTCGGTGTGACCTGTCACTGACCGGTGTGGGGTGTGGCATTTAGGGTTTCGGGTTGGAGTCTGGAGTGTATTCTGGCTTTGCTTGCGGGCTAGGTTTGGAGGGTGAAGCTGCAACCAAGAAAACGACTAGATCAACGAATTCAAGAGCTGTGGTGTTTGCTAGGAACACTGCTGGTGTTCAGGACGAAGGCTTTGACGCATACGATGCTACTCAAGGCGGTTACCGCGAGGGCAGTGAAAACATTAGCGACATACTCGTTGATGCAAGGACCTTCGTAAATAGAACGGGCTTTTGGGGAAATATTATGCTACCAGAATTCTGTTAAGGAGACCAAAGAATAAACCAATAGTGTTATAACCCTAGACCCCTAAACCCTAAACCCTAGACCCTAAACCCCTAACCCCTAAACCATAACCCTTAAACCCCTTAACCCTAAACCCTGAAGCTCAGCCACCTTCGCCTCATCGGCACTGTTCGAAGCCGACTCTTCGTCACCTTCGTACCTTGGCTGGCTTCTGAACCCCTCCAAAAAGTTAAGCTTTTAGCCTCCTTTTTATGGTTCATATAGAAACCCCAAACCCTAAACCCTAAACCTCTAAAACCCCCAAAACCCCAAACCCCTAAAACCGACGTCCTAAGAGCCAGAAGAACGCCAAGGTACCAGCATGCTTTGAATGTAGTCCGCTCCTGGGCCAGGGCAGAGCTTCGAAGCTTCGAGACCCTCGAATTGATGATACGGTTGATGATATAAATCCTGCATTACCCTAAGGACCCTAAACTATGGGAATTATGGTATATTCCTTATTATGGATAATGCAGGATTTATATCATCAACCGTAGTGGCTCCTTCTTAGTTTACCAAAAAGTTCTGTTTCGGAATGTACCCTACTACTTACATTAGCAAAGATGAGTTATATACTAGGAGCTACTGCTTCGCAAAATAAATTCATTCCTTACACTTATATACGTCCATTACCAAAAATAAGTTCGAGACAGCCCAGGCTCATCCATGTTATCTCGACGGGGCTGTGGCTGTAGCTTGCAACAGGCCCAAAAGGCAATGGCCAGGATCAGACACAAAGCATGCAGCGAGAGAACACCGGCCATGTCACGAACACCCATCGAAGCACTGTCTGAAACCTGGGCCCACTTCTTCGGGTTTAGGGGTTTCGGGTGCTAGGGGTTTTCGGCGTTCAGGCTGTTGTCAATAGAGAAGCCACTGCGGCTAATGTCCGAAACGCCTCCACGCACAGAGCAGCCAAAAGCAAAGCCTAACTAACCCTGAACCTCACAGAACCTCAAACCCAGCATTTCTGAACCTTGGGAAGAGCCAAGAAACCTCGGGAACATTGCATGACTCTTCCATGTCTGCCGTGCTTGAAGCGAAGTCGCTCCAAATGTGCTTCAGCATACCCTCCTTGTCCACGAACTTCAGTGCAACGGCCAATGAAGTTAGAAGAAGCTGGGGACCTTTGTTTGGTCTTTGGGATTTGTAAGCTCTTTGTAGAACAGTGGCTACATCCTCTTTGTTAGAAGCTGATGTTACAGGAGTCTAACGGAAGCCGTCAAATGTTCAACATGCAGCGACAGGTGCAGCCGTGCTGAATGATGGAGATGGGCCATCCTCCCGTCCTGGGTTGGTACCGTAAGAAACCCAGAAACGGAAAAGTGACCCAGAGAAAATGAAACTGTGCATCCCACCACAGAGGGAGCCCCTTGAACTGTATGTAAGTAATAAGATGCGGAGACCGAATTAGCCATGCATCCGGTACAGATGGGGAGCCATTTTGGAAAGAAGGCCCGGTGCCATCATCATCAAGTAATTTCTTCTCTGCTGCTAACGTAAGAACCCCACAGTCTTACTACATTGTTTGGGGAAAAAGCCCAAACCCAGAACCTCCAAACCCTAAACCTGAAATTGAGCGTCAGAGGTTTGATGGTCGGGCCGACGAAGTCATACTTGCAGCCGGCATTGAATCGTTTTTGGTTCAAGTACAACCTGAGTATGGGGCTTGGTGTTTTAGTGCATTTAGGGCTTAGGGCTTTGGCTGTGGGGTTTCGGGTTTTATAGGCCTTAGTAGGGTTTAGCCATGCTTAGGGTTCAGAACTTATGCCCCCCTTACAGTACGTATTTATGAACAGGTACCGCTGTAAGACCACAGGAAAGATGAAAATGTTTGCCAGGTTGCAATCTGGCAACTTCCCAATGTCTTTGTAACTGACATAGGCTTCGCACTTCCTAGGTTGGCCCTAAAGACCCATTGACCAGCTGTAGAAAAACCGAACCTTTTGGGTGTATGGGTGAAATATGCAAAATGTCCCAATGGCCAACCTGGTCGCCCATCGTCTAGGTACTCACGGATTCCGTCGGCATGTTTTGGGCTCACATCCACGAAGCGGACTTTTCCCTCCCCGATTTCCTCAGTCAAGAGCAAAACACCAATTCAGTCTTTGAGCGTTCTGTCTCAAGGTGACCTAAAGTAGGGTTTAGGGTCAACCCTAAAACCCTATACTATCCAAAAAAGCTGAAAAATGCTACTTCAGCTGCTACTAAGTCTAAGTGTCCCTCATGAACTCGCCTATGGACCACTCCATTCTTGAGCAAACCAAGGCATTCTGCTGCTTGGCCTCCTCGAACGACGAGAGGCTCGTCGATGCGGTCTGGTGCACGATGAGGAAGGTGGCCAAATTCGCCGTATAAGCGGCCCCAACCTATGAGCCCGATTGAGCCAAGATGAAAATACTTTGGTGAATACCCCTTGGCCGTAAGTTGTAAGTCACTGTAACAAACAAGAGAGCCACTTCCCAAGGAACCCTAAACCCCAACACCCAGCAACACCCCGAACCCTGTAAGACCTAAATCCTAGCCCTGAACCCAAAACCCTACAACCCTAAACCCTGAACCTTATAAGCCCAAACCCTACATACCCAAACCCTATAGCCCTAATATAACCCTGAGCCCTACAACCATGAACTCTATAAGCCTAAACCCTACATCCCCAAACCCTACAACCCTACGACCCTAAACCCTAGACATACAACCCTATAAGCCCGGCAACCTATACACCCTAAGCCCTAAACCGTAAATCTTATATACCCAAATCCTACACCCTCAAGAGGCTCAGCAACCACCACTAAGCCCTGAACCAACAAAAATCTAAGCCCTACACCGTAAATTCTACAGAAATTCTAAACCCTAAAAATCCTAAACCCTCAAGAGGATCAGGAACCACCATGATGAGGAAGCTCCAAGAGAGGAGAAGTAGCCGACCCCAGGCCGTCACAGGGCTGTAGCCCCCACCTCCTGTGAACTGGAGGCCGGAGAGCCTTTGCTTGAGGTTAGAAAGTTTAGGGTTTAGGGCGTAGAATTTAGGGCTTATAGAGTTTAGAAGGTTTAGGGTTTAGGGCTAGAATTTAGGGTTTAGGGCTTAGAATGCAGGGTTCAGGCTTAGAAGTTAGGGTTTAGGGCGTAGTGCTTAGGGTTTATTAGGGTTTAGGGCTTAGACTTTAGGGTTTAAGGTTTGTGGCTTAGAATTTGGGGCCGGGGTCGACTACGTCTTTAAATCCAAGCTGGGGTTGTGTCTTGCATTTAGGGCCCCTAAATCTTAACACCCGAACCCAAGGATCCTTGAAAACACCCGAAAAAAAGGTACCGGGTGGGAGCGTAGGAGCCAAACTGACTTCAGGGCCCCCTCAGAGCCGGTCGACACTTCAACTTCCGCCCCCTCCTCGATGGATACCCGGGACGTCTCAAAAAACCACATAAACCTCCAAGGAGCTGTCAAGTGTGGGGTTCTTGGGGTCCTTTAGGGGTTCCTTCAAGGTTCGAGCGTGTATGGTTTGAGTTTGTCAGCATTGGCCTGTTTTGCCGGTTTACGTTTCAGGGCGGCTTACTGTCACGGTTTCAGCCTTTGTTCAAGGCTTCGTTGACTCGTCTTGGGTTTCATAAGATGGTTTATTGAACTGGCTTTGGATGTACGGTTGATGAAGCCGCAGGGCATACGCATTTTGAGACAAAAGAAAATTTTATGCAGTCTGCCGCCAGAAAGCACAGCCGTCACTAGGGAGCATACGAAGAGCATCAGCCATAAGTTTGCTGAGAAGGGCTTCATGAAGGTGAACATGACTTTCCACACCGATGGCTTGTCAATCTTCCTCCGCACAATCCTATACTGAACTTAGAACCCTAGCAAAAATTAAAATTTTAGCTGTTTCTTAGGGATTACAATAACCAAAAATTAAAAAAGATTTCTAAGTACCCCTAAGAATCATGTTCAAGTCCTTTTCGACGAGCGGGTATGGCTGCAGGAAACCAGCTTCACGGCGGACAAGGCTGTCCGTCCATGAACCGAGGACGGCATCATAGTTCGGAGACTCTTGCAACAGCCATTGGGTGGTTGAAGCAGCCTTAACTGTGTTGAGGCGAATGGTGTACGTGAAGTTAGCGACGGCCGACACTGCTTTCAGAACCGAAGCGTGGAAGCCGTGTACCTTGTCAGTGATGACCATATCATTTTCTGGAGTTCCAACCGGCTCTCCTTCATTCCAGTGGCTTGAAGTCGGGTCAGTCATGTCGAAGACGGGCACAACAAACGTAAGATGCTTTCCGACCAGGGCTTTCTCAATCTGCAATGTTCCTGCTTGGACTTTTTGGAACTCGGGACAAAAGTCATTTCGCCATGCACTACCTGGGAGAGCATTCGCGAGTTGAGCAAACGTCGCCAACAGGACTGCGAGGGCCATTTTGGGCAGACCTTTGATCCGGCTGTAAAAAAGGCTTTGCGCTTTGAGCCTGCCAAAACCCAGGCAATCGGCAACAAATCTGCCACAGCGGCTGAACCGACACAGAAAACATGTGGGCCGTTCGACACCCTATCCACGAGTTCACAGTATAATTTAATATACAATAGGGTTTAGGGCCCAACATACTATATTTACAATGAGGAACCCCAAGATAGTATCTGTAGTTGTTAACGCCCCTGTATAGGATCCTAAACTCTGCAAGCCCGAACCTTTATGCTTTCCTAAAGCCCGTAATTACATCACCGAGTCCTGCAGCCTAACCCTAAACTCTAACCGTGTAACCCAAAGGCTCCATGTACCTTTGTAGTAGATACTTGAGCCCGCAAGGGGTCCCTATATAGGTACTTTAAGGCCTCAGTATATACTTTATGGGCACATGGAGCCTTGGGGCAATTCGATGGTGTAGAATGCCGTGGAGCGCCAATCAGGGTCACAGGGCTTACCCAAAGGATCCGAACGCCTGACCCCTAAACTCTGACTCTAACACTTAAACACTACGCCCTACAGACCCCAACCCCATGAACCCTAAAACCCATAAACCCTAACACTGCACTTAGCCTTAAGCCGCGATCTAAATCCTGCGGGACCCAATCAAAAGCTCTCCTTTCAGATTCCGGACCCACTCTGAAACCCTAAATCCATCTAAACTTGTAAGCCCTGGAACCCAAACCCTCTGAAAAACCCTAAATCCCTAATTATACTTCTAAACCCTCGAACCCCAAACCCGGCCATCGAAGCCCTCGGACCCCAAATCCTCCCGCCTTAGAATCCGGGGGCGCGCTAAGGTCCTTTTTAAGGCTTCCTTCAAGGGCTCCTTCGTCCTTTAAGGGGCTCCTTTTACTCCTTTCCCGGGTTTAGGGTTTTGGGGCCTTTTGGGGTTTAGGGTTTGAGGCCTTTTGGGGTTTAGGGTGAAATCTCAGAGACGGACTAATTATGTCAAGAAGTGATGCAACTTATCCGAATCTGGCATGATACTTCTTCATGTAATGCCCTGCCGAAGAGCGTGGCAGTAGCCCCAAGAAACACAATCCAGCATCTGACAGGGTAGTCACCTGCGAGATAACTAGAACAGACTTACTTTAGGGGCACACAAGATACGACAGGTAAACTAAAGAGCACTCCTAAACTAAGGAATAGCAATCCTCAGTAGTCAAGCTTCTACACTAGCCTCACCCATAGGCCCCAAAGTAGTTCCAGTCCCGACATTAGGAACCTATACTGAACTTAGAACCCTAGCACAAGTTGTAATTTTAGCTGTTTCTTAGGGATTATACTAACCAAAAAATTGAAAATATTTCTAAGTACCCCTAAGAGAAGCCGGATCCAGTCCCGACATTAGGAACAGGCCTCGATCACGGAAGCCTGCTGAACCATCGCCATTCTTCCCCACAGCTTCCCGGTTTCTCAAAAAAATCTCACCTAAACCACCAAGGACCTCATAGTTGGGGCCTTAGACCCCTTAAGGACCCCATAATAAGGTCGCTGGAGGGATAGGGATCTCACCTAACCCCCCCCAAAGGTAGGTAAAATAATGGCCCAGTAACTGTAAAAGGCTATGATTCTACATACTTTTGGGGGTCCAGGCAGGCACTTTCTTCCACTTTGGGAAGACGCCGGAGGTAGTGAGCAGATCGGAAGCAGACAGAAAGGTCGATGAATCTGCGGCCACTAAACCCTAAACCCTAAAAGGGATTCCAAGATTTTCGCGAACCCTTGTAAGAAAAGTCGCGAACTCGACACTCTAAACCTCCAATCCTCGAACCCCAAGCAAATACGCACCACCTGAAGTCAATGTCGAAATCACCAACGCCTGAGCTTGGGTGGGTTCGGTTTCTGCGTGTACATGGGTGCACATGCGGGATAGCTGCTATAATGAGCCAGTTGCAGCAAAGCACGCGACATGGGGCCAGTTGCGGCGATGCACGAGACATGGGCGTAGCTTTTCGGGGGGCAGCTGAACCCGAATCGTAAACTGCACCGCCTTATCACGTGCAAACGACTTGGCGACAAGTTTCGGCTCGACCTAGACGGGAAGCTGCAGTAGCTTGCTTCATATCCGTTACCTCGTTTTCAATTCCTTGTTGAGTGATCCTTAAGCCTAAACCCTAAACCCTAATCCCTAAACCCTACGGAGCTCCCCCGAACCCCAAAACAGGCTCTGCAAGATGAAGTGGTCGATTGTTCCAGGCGAGTTGTAGCCTAAACCACATAAACCCCTACAGTTCAAGCCCAAAAGTTGGAAACCCCATAGCCTCAATCCTCCCCATAGCCTCAATCCTTAAGAGTAATGTAATGTGAATCCCAGCACTATTTGGCCTTAATCCGGTTTCCAACTTTATGGGGTTTACTGTAACCCTAAATAGCCTAAGGGTAGGGCTTCAAAAAGTACGGCTGCAGCGATCACTCTCAACTTTAAGGCATTTCCGGAGGCTAGAAGATAGAAGCCTTTTGGTGTGGGGTGCGGGCGGTTTTCTAGGATTTTTTTGGGATAAAGATACCCAGAAGGAATCAGGACTAGTAAAAGGGAGTAAGGGTACTACTGGGCATCCTTGGCCTTCGGATCAAGGAGTCGAGAGTTCAGGATTCAATATTTAGGGTTTAGGGTTTAGGGTTTAGGGGTTTAGGGTTTAGGGTTTAGGGGTTTAGGGGTTAGGGTTTAGGGGTTTAGGGTTTAGGGTTTAGGGTGAGGCTAACTACAGTAATCCCCATAACGTTGGAAACCGGATGAAGGCCAAATAGTGCTGGGATTCCCTGTACATTACTCTTAAGGATTGAGGCTATGGGGTTTCCAACTTTTTGGCTTATCCTGTAACCTAAACATTGGAAGCTCAACCCGGGCACTAGCTCTAAGACCCTACACAAACCCTAAACCCTAAGCTCGACATTCTGGACCCTAAACTTTACACCCCAAACCCTAAACTCTACCCCATAAACCCCGCACTCTACACCCCAAGACCTACATTGAATCCCAACTAAACATCAGTGCAGTTTATGGTAGACTATATGTACCTGTATACACATAAACTTGATGCATAGAGCTAACAATCTCAAAAACCCCCTAAACCCTAAACCCCTAAACCCTATATAAACCCTAAACCCTAAACCCCCTAAAGCGCAAGGTGAACCTCATCCTCGGAGGTCAGGAGCATGTTCTCCTGACGACCGTTTGAAGGATTTAGGGTCTGCCTTAACCCCGAAGAACCTATATGACATATATAAGGAAATCATAGTAATGAACCCTAAAAAGGTAGGTTATTCAGGGTTAAGGTGGGGTTTAGGGTTTAAGGCACAGCTTGTCCGGCGGCTGATGATGATTCTTTTTAGGGTTTAGGGTTTAAGGTTTAGGGTTTAGGGTCTGGGGTTTAGGGTTTAAGGGCAGTGTTTAGGATTTAGCATTCAGAAGGTGTAAGGGTAGGGTTTGGGATTAGGATTTCGGCTTTGGGGTTTAGGGTTTAAGGGTCGGGTTTAGGATTCAGGACTTACTGCAGGGATTCGGGTCGAGGCTTTGCTTCAGCACGTGTTGCAGGATTTAGGGTTCGGGGTTCAGGGTTTAAGGTTCAGGATTTCGGGGTGAGGGTTCAGGGCAAGCCTCTGGTTGGGGCAGAATAATCTCAGTGTCGTCTCATCCCCTCGTGGTCTAACACAAAATGGCAAGTGGCCTTACATCGACACTTCGGCCTGAACTGCCAAAACCTTTCGGTCTAGGTTTACAGTTTACCGTAACTTGATCTTTGGGTGAGCTTAGAATGTCAATGCCCAAAAAGTCACCATCTCAGGCTTCTTTCGTGCAGCCTGACATGTGGGAGTTTTCGAAAATAGGGGACTCTAATGTAGTACCCTAAATAGTAGGATCCTGGATATGAGGACCCCCAAATTAGGTATCCCAAATTTTCGGAAAGCCCCATGTCACCATGTCTCTTCAGCCACTGGGATCTTAGGAAGCATGGCTTTGCTAGAGGTTGAGTTTTGCAGGATTCTGCACATGCTGCCAAAGCCTCAACGGTGCTGTAAATCCTGTGCGCTGCTGCGAGCACTGAAAACCCAAAACCCTAAACCCTAAACGGTAAGTTGCTATCTATGCGAGAGCTGGTCCCGTACCGAAGTACTGTCACCGCCAAACTCAGCCTCACCCCAGGTCACGACGGATCCGTCTTCCAGAATAGCAGCAAAAGCAGAACCAGATGCTTGAATCTGCTGCACATTCTTGAGCTGAGTCTGCGCAGAACTGCTGTCGCCACCTGCGTCAGGATGACCCCAGGTCACGACGGATCCATCGCCAAGAATCGCAGCAAAGGCAGTAAAACAGGCTTGAATCTGTTGCACATTCTTGAGCTGAGTCTGCACAGTGCTGCTGTCGGCACCGAACTCAACATCACCCCAGGTCACAACGGATCCATCGTCAAGAATGGCAGCAAAAGCGCGGCTGGAGGCCTGGATCTGTTGCACATTCTTCAGCTGGGACTGCACAGCGCTGCTGTCGCCACCGCACTCAGCATCACCCCAGGTGACGATGGATCCATCATCAAGAATCGCAGCAAAGGCAGAACGAGAGGCTTGAATCTGCTGCACATTCTTCAGCTGGGACTGCACAGCGCTGCTGTCGCCACCGCACTCAGCATCACCCCAGGTGACGATGGATCCATCATCAAGAATCGCAGCAAAGGCAGAACGAGAGGCTTGAATCTGCTGCACATTCTTCAGCTGGGACTGCACAGCGCTGCTGTCGCCACCGCACTCAGCATCACCCCAGGTGACGATGGATCCATCATCAAGAATCGCAGCAAAGGCAGAACGAGAGGCTTGAATCTGCTGCACGTTCTTCAGCTGAGTCTGCACATCGCTGCTGTCGGCACCGAACTCACCAGGACCCCAGGTCACGACAGATCCATCGTCAAGAATGGCAGCAAAGGCGTATGCATTGGCTTGGATTTGCAACACAT